GCTGATGGTTCCTACTACACGGCTAGTGCGGAAACATCAGGGGAAGTCCAGGAAAGCAAGACTGTGGGGAAAGCAGCCAGGGGGCCCCGGTCTCCCCATCCTTCCTGCTTCGTGTAGCAGAGCCTAGAGACCCCTTATCTCCTCCCTCCTGGCTGGGATCTCACGGCAGGTGGCGGGGAGGAGCTTGATCTCGTCTCTGATAGACAAGCTCTCCCCACCCCTCGGAGCTGCGCAGGGGCCGGTCCCTTTCTGTGATGCCCACTCTTCTTAGCTTTACCGACTGGCCCATTTTTGCAAACCTCTCCTGATTACTAAAGTTCCTTCTGAAAACAACTCAAACTAGCAGTTCGAACATAAGAATTGGCCAGCTGGTGCTAATAGCCTCATTTTACATAGGCGGAAACCCTCTCACACCATTTCCAAAGATAAGGAAAGTTAAGGTGGGGCTGGGAACCAGGGTGGGAGTCTGGGTCCGCAGCCCCACCCCTTGCTCCTTGGGCTGCTTGCACCAGACTTGCCAGGTGCCCCCAGTTAGTCATCAGCCTTAGTCAGAGGAGCCCGCCTAGGATCGACCACATCGCTCCCCGCCTCCTCCCTTCAGCCCTGGGGACCTCGACTTGGAAGGAGAAGGAGCATGCCTACTCTTCCCAGTGCTCTGCTGGGGATAGGGCTTGGTGGCCGCACCAGACCCAGCCCCTTAGCCACAGCTGCCAGAGATGGTGACACAGCCGCCATCCCCTCCAGGAATGGAGGCACAGCTGTTCTGGGTCATGGTCTGCGGACACCCACCGCGTGGCTCCTGGAGTCATACTGGGCACTTCTGTCCCCAGATGTGAATGAATGCGAGCTCTACGGGCAGGAGGGGCGCCCCCGGCTCTGCATGCATACCTGCATGAACACCCCCGGCTCCTACCGCTGTGCCTGCCCCAGCGGGTACCGGACCCTGGCCGACGGGAAGAGCTGTGAGGGTGAGTAAGGCTGCAGCCGAGGCAGGTGGCCTCGGGGCTGGGGAGAGCCTGGCTGGTCCCAGACGATGGCGCTGAACTACTGGGGGAGGAAGCCAGAGGGCTCCTCCACAGGCTGACTGCAAAGAGGCAGCTGCTCAGTGATGGCCTGGTGGGGTTCCATTGCAGGGCTCAGAGGAGTGGTAACCTGGGGCTGGAGACAGAAGGCATCCAGACAGCCATCACCCAACCACCCATCCATCCTTCCATCCATCCTTGCATTCCACAAACACTCAAGAAGGCCCATGTAGGATTGTGTGGTGGCTAGGAAGAAATCCAGCCTCCAGCCCGAGAACTCACATATAAAAGGCTTGATTATAGTCACAGAGGGCAGACCCCAGAGCACTCTGGCTGAGAAGGAGGCAGGTCTGAGAGAAGCGATGTGACAGTAATGCTCCTCTGTGCCCTCCAGCATCTCTGTGACCTGCTATGCCCGAGGAAGAAAGACAGGACCCCGGGGAGGGGACTTCCCCAGAGGGGCTCTGCAGCGCTTCCACCAGACCTGGACTTCAAATGGTCAAGGAAGACAGGGCTTCCCGTTTTAAGAATAAGTGCTGGGTGTCCGGAAAGTTCACGGCGTGTGGAGCACCTCATTCCAGTGCCTGCCTGGAATGGAGGGGACGTCAGGGGATCTACCCCTTCACTGGGTGTCTGGTGTTTCAGATGTCGATGAGTGTGCGAGCCCGCAGCACGTGTGCCCCCGGGGGACCGTGTGCATCAACACGGGCGGAGGCTTCCAGTGCGTCAGCCCGGAGTGCCCCGACGGCAGCGGCAACGTGAGCTACGTGAAGACGTCCCCTTTGTGAGTATACCCAGGGCCACCCACCTAGACCCCTCACCCAGGCCTCCCAGCGTGGCTGAACCAGATTCCACCTAGATGTTCTTGGGAGAAGGTACAAGTATGTCTGGGAAAAGGCAGGGAGCTGGGACTCGGGCTTCTCGGAGCATCCATTTCCCTCTGAGGTTGCATTTAATGCACTGCTGCTCTGTGCAGTAAGGACCCAGTCTGCCCTGTGAACTAGGAATAATGTTCCAAGCACTCCCTGCTGACAGGGAGGCCACTGGAGGGAAGAGGCAGGCAGTTATACGTTACACAGATTTGGGAGAGGGCCATTTCCTGTGTTCACTTGGTAATTGGGAGGCTCCAGCCGCACCATACGGCTACCAGGAGGTTCAACTTTTAGTACCCTCAGCACCTAAGAGTTTTTTTTCTCCCCCAAAAGGTAAGAGACAGATCTTTAGGGACAATAACTGCAACTATCATAAAGCACACATATTTTCTTCTGAAAAAGAGATAGTAAGGCCTCCGCACGGTCTGTAGAATGCATTGATCTCACAAGGTTCGATACCTGAATTGCTTTGGGGGCTACAGCAGATTAGAAACAGCAAGAAAGTCAGTGGAGCTGAAGGGTGGCAGTTTTTCCCCGAGAGCGATGACACCAGCGTCTTCCTCGGGTGTCACTTAGTGAAGGGACAGAGGGACCCGTATGTCAGAGCCTTTGGGGACATCCCTGATTAACAGCCGGAACTGCCATTTGACCTGCATCATGGTGACTGTATGAATCACCAGAACTGCTGAACTGTCTCTGTCTCTCATGTTGGACGAGGTAGGGAACTATCCGAGCACTTCCACAGGTCCGTAACTCCAAACGACTAAGGAGGGCAGGGTGTCCTGCCTTACGAATAAACATCAGGTGCTTACAAAGTCCATCATAAGGGAAGAATAAGTGCATCACATGTAGAGAACCACGTTCCAAGATGTTGCCAGCCAACTGCTGGGGTCTCAGCACGTGTAGAAGGGCACCTGGTTTGGATGCCAGCACCATCATTCTTGTATCTTCCTCGGCTTTATTTTTCTGAAAAAACAGGAGTAACAGCATACACAAACATATATGCACATACAGACGCACATGCGTGTGGCTTCAGGTGGGGCAGGGGAGCATCTCTTCCCTGGCCAGGCCTGACGCCAGCCACACTTACTGGCCGGTAGCTCCGGAGCACCGGTGGCCAGAAGGGTCACTCTGGGGGCCTCTGCAGGAGGGCAGACAAGCCTGGTTAGAGCAGCCCCTCCTGACTCTCCCCAAGGCTGACGACTCCCTCCGTTTTGCCTCTCTGCTCCAGCCAGTGTGAACGAAACCCCTGCCCCATGGACAGCAGACCCTGCCGCCACATGCCCAAGACCATCTCCTTCCATTACCTCTCTCTGCCCTCCAACCTGAAGACGCCCATCACGCTCTTCCGCATGGCCACGGCCTCGGCCCCAGGCCGGCCTGGCCCCAACAGCCTGCGCTTCGGGATCGTGGGCGGCAACAGCCGTGGCCACTTTGTGATGCAGCGCTCCGACCGGCAGACGGGGGAGCTGATCCTCGTCCAGACCCTGGAGGGGCCTCAGACGCTGGAGGTAGACGTTGACATGTCAGAATACCTGGACCGCTCCTTCCAGGCCAACCACGTGTCCAAGGTCACCATCTTTGTGTCCCCTTATGACTTCTGAGGGTGCCGTGGGGTCACGGGGTGCAGAAACCTGGGCTCATTTCTCTTCCCCAAAGACTCAGCTGTGGGCGCTGACTCTGACAGACATCTCTTCCCACCCCGCCTGGCCCCTGCCCGCCTGCCCGGCACCCCCAGGCTCCTAGGGCAGCTCTGCACGCTGTCCCGTGCAGTGGCACAGAAAGGCGGCCACAAAACCCAAACTGCTGCCATTACGTTTTTTTCCTGCTTTAAGGCCCTCCCTTAAATGATGCACTTTCTCCATCTTTACTTACGGGAACCGGCAGCTTTTCTAAATGCTGTGAGTGGCATTGTGAGTCTGAACTAGCCGGGGAGGGAAAGGCTTATAATAAGTCTGAGATGACTGTCCGTCCTCCCGTGTTGTTATGGTCCAGCCTTGTTAAGATGTAGTTCTTCATGCTGAGGGTCACGTCCAGCCCTTGCGCACGTGGCATGGTGGGGCCAGGGGGTCCTGCCACAACCCAGCATGTCCTTTTCTGCATCCCTTCTGCAACATGCCCGCCACCCTTCTCATCAGAGAACCACGGCAGGGCTTGAACCCCCGTGCAGATTCTCCCAGACCGAGGAACCAAGATTCAAGCGTAGCTTCTGCCTGAATTAATCCCCTTTTGACAAATCCTGTCTCAAAACATAACCTGGTATTATAACTGAAGAAATAAAGTCTGTTGCTCCTCCCTGCCCGCACTGGCCTGTCCTCGACCGTGAGCCAGCCCTCATCCTCCCACGAGGGGTACCTGGTGCCTTTCCTGTCAAGGCTGGACCCGATGGGATAAGTGAATAAGAAAGAAAACGTGGAGATGATGCTGAAATTGCTCCACCAATAGAAATTTGGCTTGTCCAAGCGGGAGGTTGGTAAAGCAACGTCCGGCAGTGGAGAGCTTTAAAAAATGCTTGGATTGCCGTTCTACTTCTACTTCCAGGACCTTCTACTTCTGATGGAGAAGCCAAAGGGCAGGGGGGATGCCTGCAAGGTGGCCGAGGAAAGAAAACACTCTCAGGGCTGGGAGTGGGTGGGGGAGACTGTGCGAGGGACAACTTCGAAGCTAGCTGAGCTGTGAGGACATACATGTTCACTGAGGTGAGACTTCATCCCATTTTATTGAAAAGTTCTTTGTATTTGCTTTGGTGTGAGGTGGAGCCAAGGCAAATGTGTTGCCAGTTCAGTGATGAGGCCCTCCATCCAGGTGGTTCCTCGGACACCTGTCCTTGTATTATTTTGTCAGACAACCAGTGAGACCCAGGCAAGAGCTGCTTTTGACATTTTTCTCCTCCTCTGGGCTCAGCTGTGATGTCTGCAACAAGAGAACGAGGGCCTGCAAGTCTGCTTCTCTGGGGTGTTAAGGGCTTTATTAAAGCCATCCCCCAGCCCTGCGTTTCTCAATGGTGCTGTGACGGGTCAGAAGCCCACACGCCTCCCAGTCCCCTGTGCAGAGCACCCAGGCTGGGAGGGGCAAAGGTGAGGCCAGGCTCCTGAAAGTAAAATGTCACAGGTGTGTGTCCTTCCTTCTTGCTGGGGGGAGGGCAAGGTGGTGCCAAGGGCCAAGCCTCTTACCTCCCAGCAGGTGAGGAGTGATTTGGGAGGACTTGGACACCACACAGGCCCAGCTGAAACCAATGATTTGCATCAGCAAGATCGGCTGTCACCAAACCTCTTCCCATTTGAGATGCCTCACCACGCCCCACGGGACCCACATACAGATGCCCGCCCGAGTCCAGCTCTGTGCATAGTGCCTGGCCCTTCCCATGTGGTACCTTGTTCTCTAGCCTCTCTCAACATCTCCCCATAGAAACCAGCTTCTCCTCTGTCCTTTCATAGCTCCAGTCTGTGCCAGGTTCAGAATAGGCAGTTGTTAACAGGCATGAATTTGCATCCCTTTCTAGGTAATACAGTTTCATATTATTTGGCAGGGAGCATCTAAAACCTTTTACTGGGCACCACTGCAGACATACACAGACATAGAACAGAATAATGCACCTCCTGTCCCAGTCACCAATTTCAAGAATTAACTCCCGGCCAATCGTATTTCATCTCTGCTCTCACCCACCCCATGCTGATTTTGAAACAGGTCTTGGACCTCACAGCATTTCATTCGTGAACATTTCGGTCTGCATCTCTAAACCATAAGACTTTTTTTAAAAGTGTACCCTCAGTACTGAAACATCAGTAGTCATTCCTTAATACCTTCAAATATTTAGTCATTCAAATTTCCGAGTGGCTCATGATTTTTTGTTTGAAAGAGGTCCATGCTCTAATTTGTCGATACTCTTCTTAAATCTCCGTTCACCTGTGGCAGTAGTTCTCATGCTGCAGCAGGTACTGGGATAACCTAGAAGACTAGCATCCTGGGTCCCTCGTCCTGCAGAACTTCTCACAGTCTGGGTTTTCCTGAGGGCATCTCTGCAGCGTCTTTTAACATCATCCTCTGCCTTCTCGATTTCTTATCTGTCAGTAGTTATAGCTAGAAATTCAGAGTCCAGGTCGGTTTATTTTCACGAGATGACTTTACTGATGGTGAAAGTACTTCCGGTGGGGGAGGGGCGAATCATCTCTCGTAGCCTCTCTTTTCTGAGGTTAGCAGCCATTGATGGTGACTGCATAGACCCATTACTTCTTGAGGGGTTGCAAATAATGTTCTAGTGCCACTGTTTCTTTATTAGCTGGCAAACCTTATAAGGAGAAACTTCCTTTCATCAATTACTTGGTTACCCTGAGGTCTGGTTTGTACAGGAAAGGCAGGATAAATTCTTGCCTTTTCCCCCTTGTCCGTTTTCAAGGTGGTTCCCAGGGAACCACCGTCTTTCCGAGTGGCCCCGTGAGGGTTGTTTTCTTCTTGAGGACATTGCGAACTCATGGTTTAAACGTATTTGGTGGATGTTTCAGTCCATTGCAGTCGCTGTCCTTACGGTTGCTCAGACCATCCTGTCTTTGGCTCTTGGGAACTGCTTCAAGTTGGCTGATTCCTTTCGACATGACCCTAGTTGTCTTTGATAGTTTGGTAGTTCTCTTGTGTGACAAGATGTTTCGAGCTTATCTTGTATATTTGTGCTCCAGCCCTGAAGTCATCTATTTTTCTTTTTTTTTTTTTTGACCCAGAGATCCCCAGTTCCTTTCAGTGGGGAGTGATCATCAGAGATCAAAATCTGGGTATAAGGAAGGTTCACGGGTAGAGGTTTGGTCATTATTTCTTGGTTTTAATGCATACAGCTAGGAAATAGGTTCTACTCAGTTTTTTTTTTAAAGAAAAAACACTACATGAGTTTACATTGATAATTCCAATTCAACTCAGGACTACTGGATTTTTAATGTAACCTCATTGTCTTACATCTGCTCTTTCTCTCATTCTAAAGACCTCCTTCTCAAAATCACCAAAATAGTTACACAATGTTTTAAATCCTCAGAATAACAATTCCAAAATTATCACACAGAAATGACTGAAAACGGTTAACATTTTTCTTTTGCAATTCTTTTTGTCCTTAGGGTTTATGCTATCAGGGATGCAACAGTCAGACGACTTGGAATCGTTCCTCTCTCTGTGGTTATGCCCCAAGCTTGAGTCAGGGTAATGGTTTCACTTTGTTTTGCTTAAATGTTTAGAGAGTCCATTTTTCATTTTTAAAAATAATTATGCAAACTATTTACATGGTTCCAAAGTCAAATCCACAAAATGGGCTGTATTCAGAGAAATCTATATTCTAACCCAGTCCCCTCCACCCGATTTCCTCTTCCTACCATAGGTAATCAAGCTTTTTTCATTCTACTCTTCCATTTTAAAAATATAAGCACATGATAAATAGAAGCATCCTAATTCATTTCATACCTTCCTTGATCTTGCTTTTTTCCCTTAACAGTATATGGAATATTACTCCATAGAACCAGATAAAATGTTCTATAAAATGCTCCATTATGAGGAAATACCATTGTTTATTCAACCAGTCACCCTTGATTGACATATGGGCTGTTTCCAGTCCTTTGATATTAAAAATATTGATGCAAGATGCATGTGTCTTGTTGCATTTGTGCCTTTTGTGTCTCTGGGGCCAATTCTTCCCCCATAAGGATTACACCACTCTCTATCCCAACAAACAGTGTATGAGCATTTGTGTTCCTAAAACAAAGAAGGCCCCGGGGTGTCCCCGGTTCTCACATCTGCGCTCCCACCAGACTCTCCGTGGGAAGGACAGAGAGGCCTGAACGGAGAGCTGCTCCACAGCGAGCCCGCGCCCCTGGCCCGGCCTTCAGCAGCCACTAGGAAGACATGAGGGACAAGTCAGCTGGATCACTGGCTCCTGAGAGACGGAAAGTCCGCTCGGTTTGGGGATAACGTCAGAAAATCATCTTATTTTTAAAACGTGACACCTACAACACTGGCAAAGTGAAAGGAAAAAAAGCCGAAAACAGACTATCACCAGATGGTCACAGTGAACTTGAGGGCTTTGTTGGGCATCTGAGCACGTGCCCCAACGAGACACATGAAGAAGGCAGCCTTGAACAGTCACATTCCACCAGCCGCTGCCTCCGCTTTTACCAAGCTCACACAGGTGGACTTTTATTATGACTTCACCTTGTGCATATGAAAATCTATAAGTGTTTCTAAGCTGCATAAGTATTCCTGGATATTTACGGTGTTCCAGGCACTGTTCTATTCGTTTAGGGCACCGTGGATGGCAAGGTGGACAGACACCCGGACCTCGGACATCATGGAGCTTACGTTGTAGCAAGCGAGAAGATAATATACATAAACAAGAAGAGGCCCTAACTTCCAAGAGCGATGAGCGCTATGAAAATAAAAGCAGCAAAAGACGGTGGTCAGTGTGTAGTACATATATACACAAACAGACGTAGACACAGCATCCCCGTAGCCTGGACGTGGCAAACACCGAGATCCTGTGTGCCGACGCTGGAATTCCACTTCCTGGTGCTTGGAATTCGGACTCTGCATCTCAAGTGTTCAAATGAAGTGATGTCGAGCAAGGCCTGGGGTGACCACCTGGGGCGCAGGTGCACTAGGAAAGGCATCCACACAGAGAGAACCACGAAGAGGTTTTACTGCATAAAACACCCCCAGACTGAGCAGCTAAAAACCATGACCATTTCTGTGAGTCAGGAATTCAGAGAGCACAGGCGGGTGGTTTACATTTATGCCACAAGGTCTGCCCCTCCCTCCTTGGCCGGGGGCTGGGCTTCCCTGGGGGGCAGTCACTGACTCGCCCGTCTGGCCTGGCTTGGCCTGGGATGACTTCAAGAGAGTATGACTTGAGGAAAGTCGGGTTTGGGCTGACAGAATTTTCTGAATCTGACCACCTTCAAAGGAAAAATTAGATTTTAGCCATCTGGTTCTTTATCTCCAGGAAGCTCTTTAAATATACTTTTTAGGGGAAAAACAGGCTCCATTGTATGTATACCTTGTTGACTGGGACCAGGAGTCACCACAGGCCTGTAGTGGCCTGAAGACAACATCTGGCCTGCCTTCCTTCCCTTGATGGTCGGCTGAGTGATCAGACTCTGCTGCAGAAGGAGGTCTCGGCTTCTCAGACTCCTTTGACCTCCCCATCCAAGCTGTCGAGCTCCATCATAGGAAGAGTTTGTTCCCAGAGTCCTGTGAGTTAAGTTACACATCTTCCTTCATTCCTGCCTTCGGCCAGTAGGCGGGGCCAGACTTGGTTGGGGGCTGAGCTTGAAAGCCAGAGACAAGAGCATCACCCCCTAGGGGGTCTCTCTCACTCCGAGGCTGGTTTTACGGTGGTTTGGAGTCTGCCCGTGTGGCAGATATATCTCCGCAGAGATCTTGGCCACTTGGAAATTCAGTTCACTCCACGTTCAATCATAACTGCTGTGTTTCCCCTGAAGGCAGCTGGATCTTCGACTGCAAGCCCAAATCCGTAGAGCCCTGAGTGAGCTGGCCCCTGCTGACCTCCTGGACCACTCACTGCTCGTGATGCTCCCAAGGGCACCGGCTCCTTTCTGCACCTTGACTCTGCCTACCTCATTTCTCCCCCGGGGCCTCTGGACTGGCTGCCCGCTCCCTGCTCTGCTCCTTGTCCTCTGTCCACTTGGTGTGGGCGCAAATGTCCCTTCCTCAGAGAGGCGTCCCAGCCGCCCTCGCCAGTGCTGCTCACCCCTCTGCTTGATTACCCACCCTGTTTCCTTTTCTTTGAAAGCATTTTTCACCATCTGAAATGATCATATTCATTGACCTGTTTTCTGTCTCTCCCCATAGCCTGGTCCCTGTTGGTTGCCCATCCAATTTCCACTTCCCTTTTCCACTTTGCAAAAAGAAGCCTGTTTTGCTCAGACCCCTTTCCCTCCTTGTTATGAGCTGAACTGTGTACCCCCCCCCCAATTCCTATGATGAGTTCCTAACCCCCAGCACCTTGGAAAGTGACTGTATCTGGAGATAGGGTCTTTAAAGAGGTAATCAAGTTAAAATGAGGTCTTCAGAGTGGGCTCTAATTCAATACGACCAGTGTTCTTATACAAAGAGATTAGGAACACACACACACACAGAGGGAAGACCATGTGAAGACACGGGGAGGAGAGGACAGCCACCTGCAAACCAAAGAGAGCGGTCTCAGAAGAAACCAGCCTTGCTACCACCTTGGTCTCAGACTTCTGGCCGCCATCACTGTGAGAAAATGAAGTTTTGTTGTTTACACCACCTGGTGTCTGGTGCTTCCTGATGGCAGCCCCAGCAGACGAATTCACTCCTCATTCCAACCTTGTTGCGGGGGAAGACGATGACCGCCACCCACCCTCCAGGCTCCAAGGCCAACGCCCCAGGCAGAGTGACAGGAAAGGCTTTCTCAATACACGTTTGGACAATTCTCCATCTTTTCTGCTGAAATGAGAGGAGGTATGTCATCATGGTTGCTGCTGGAAGCCAAAAAACCTCCTGGTAAAAAGCAGAGCCAAGTGGAGTTGCGGTCCTCATCGAAATACCCTTGGAAAATTTCCTGTTCCTGGACTTCCTGTTATATGAGATAATGTGGTTACGGCTTAAGTGGGTTTGAGATGGAGTTCTTGTTGGTGGTAGCCCAAAGCATCCTGGATCTAACTGGCTAGAATCCCAGCTCCGTGCTAATCCTGGCGTCTTGTCTGCACACTTGCTGATGTAGCCCCAGCACATTTGGGCCCTGGCAGGTGCTCAACGCTGATCTAGAGGCTGATGACTGAAGAACCTTAAGTCACGAGGACCAACGTGAATACACGAAGAGGGGTCACCTATGACACCCACAAACAACTTGGCTTTCATTTAGTTTGTTAAGATTGGGGTCCTGAGACAGTGGATTGGGTAAGGGACAATTAGAAAAATGAGTAGGAAGGAAACAAGGGTGAGGGCCTCCTAAAGATGGAAATTCTTACTGGAAACCCATGGACAGGTGACAGATAAGCTACAAAATAAAAGAGAGAGCGATCAGGGCAGACATTAGTGAATTCGGCCCCGCGGTAGGCTGGCACTTCTGCCCCCTTGTGGTAGGGACACACTGTTGCAGAGTTCTTTTCCCTCCAGTGTGACATCCAGCCCCAGTGCGGGGAGGCTGCTGGGTCAGCTCAGATGCCTGCCTGTGTGACCCAGTGAACTCCTGGCCCACGATATGTGTGGCATGAGCTAAAAATCATACTTTGGTTAAAGCCACAGAGATTTTAGGGTTGTTTATTACTCCTGACTGATGCACAGCAGAAAAGGAAAAACATAAAATAAGGGAGAATCTCTCCATCACTGAGGATGGGATCACGCCATGGGCTGAGGAGTGGAATGAACTCAACTCCAATGTACTCCTCAAATTTGCAACAAATAAGAAAATAAACACGCACAAGTGATATCTTAAATGGCAAAATCGGGCTAAAATGGTATGTGCCAAAGGTTGAGGTAGGCTTCACAGCAACACAGAGGAGTTTTAGAAGGTCCTAGAGGCCACACCATGGCTCGACCCCAACCTCTTGTCCTGAGAGCAGACTAGGCCTTGTGTTTTGGCTGGACCGTATCCTCCAAAATGGTATGTTCAAGTCCCAACACCTGGTACCTATGCATGTGACCTCGCTTGGAAATAGGGGTTTTGCAGATGTAATTAAATTAAAATGAGGTCCTACTGGATTAGGGTGGGCCTTAATCCAGGGAGTGGTATCCTTACAAGAAGAGAAAACAGACACAGCCACACGATGGGGAGAGAAGACAGTGGCAGCGGTTGGAGACATGTTGTCAAAGCCAAGAAATGCCAAGGATCCCAGTCTCCCCCAGCAGCCAGGAAGAGGCAAAGGAAGGACCATCCCTGAGAGTCTTCCAAGCATGGCCCTGCCCGCCCCCCAATTTCAGGCTTCTAGCCTCCAGAACTGAGAGAGGATACATCTCTGTTGCTCTAGGCACTCAGTGTGTGGTCCTTGGTTAGAGCAGCCCTAGGAACCTGACACACCTTGTAACTCAGGCTCCTCGGAAGAACATCTGCTGAGGGTCCATCATCCCACCTCACCGAGGGAGGGGTCATCTCCATCCCAGGGGGATTTGCACCAACTGCCAAGCACACACTTACCAAAAGCCCACAAAAGCCTTTTCCTTGACAATCATTTTGGATCACTTATAAGTGATAAAAACGATCACTGTATTTGTGTAATTCCTGCTAAATTTAGAGTCAGAGAAGAAGGCCACTTTGCAACGAGTGCAGAGTCCCACCGGGGACATTTGGGAGGCTAATTTTCAAACACTGGCCTTTTCTCTCTCTCTCTCTCTCTTCTTTTTTTTTGTGAAAGAGAAGTTGGCTAATTTAATAACTAGCAATGACATAATTCTTATTTCATCAGTAAAAGCAGAAACAAAGGGCTCAATTGGCGTATTTCATAAAGAGATTCGTTGATTCCAGGGATAAGGAAGGAATCTGGACCCTTCATCCCAACCCTGGATTAGCCTAGAAGACTGGAAACAAAATCAAAACCATTCTCCCCTCAAGGGCTGCAGAATCAAAAGCTCCCCCGCCCCAGCCCTGAACTGGTCCCCTCCCTCC